CCCCAAAACCCCAAAACCCCAAAACCCCAAAACCCCTTTGGGAGGAATTTTTATTGAAATTTTATGATGCTGTCTGGTATTTGAGTCATTGGATAGCCGGTTATGTTTTCCTTGATGACTGCTGATTCTTGCTCTTGTAATGATCGAAGGTCTTCGTTTATTAGAGGAGGGGAATGACCTTCAGGTTGATGAGTAGGCGGAGAATCTGGAGATCTTGGTGATTTAGATGGCTTCATTTTCTTCTTAGATTTGTGGAGCTTCTGTAATTTTTGTAGTTTTGGAGCTTTCTTCTCAGGAGAATTCGAATCTTTTCTCTCTAGTTTAATTCAAGCAGTTCCTGGGTCTGGGATTGCACGAATAGATCTCAACATAGCCAAAGCATCTTCATAAGCTTTTAACTTATGGCAAGTCAGGTCCTGCTCCTGGTTTTCTGGAGATTTCTTTGAAGGTGACTCATCAAATTCTATATAACTCATCCAAACACCATACCTTGTGAGAATCCAAACTCCTTCTTCTTGAGAGCTCGAAGTATCTTCCTTGGGAAAAGAGCATCATTGATGACTTTCTCATTGTCTCAGACATATTCAGAGGTTTTTACTAATGAGACATCTTCCTGATTATTAGAGTAATCATTATCTCCATACCCTTTCATGTTTTGAGTCTGGTTAAGGCTCATTGCCTTGGAGCTAAACTGGGACTTCTCATCAGGAGAATTCATCTCTCTAAACCGATCATAGTTGAAAATATCATTAATAAAATGCGCAGTGTTCATATTCTTTGAGGTGTGCAGTCTGTTGAATTTTGAAAAATCTGAGCCATACCGACTATCAAACCCTGGCTCGTTTATAGAGTACTTCTGAGGATCTCTCTGCTGAACTTCTTTTATTTTGCCAATAATCTTATTTATACGTCTCTATGTCTAGCAAGCATTTTTCGTATGAGGGGAAATCTGGATTAAAATCGTATATTTTAGAGATAAGAGGGAGTGTGTTATCAGAGATATCAAACTCATAGTCCATATTATGCATCCCTGGAGGCTCTATTAAATTAGAATTATGCCTTACCTCATGTACAGACAGAATCCTTGGCGCTGCTATTGTACATGACTCTTAAACTCTGCTGGTCATTTTGGTAGTCAGTATTTCCCTAAATTATTTAACAAACAGTTTTTGAAAAGGCAATGAAAAGTGTATAGAAATTTTACATTTAATCGGGGACATCCTTCCTGATGTTTGAAATTGTGCCTTCGTGACATACTGAAATTCCGATTATTTACTCTCGCTCTTCTGTCTAGTCTGTGAAATAGCTTCTCGAAATAAGGAGTTCAGATTCTTTCTATCTCCCCAAACTTTTGAATGGGTCCTCCTCCCACTTCTGTGGAAAGTGTTGAGTCTGGAGTTGACAAAGTTTATAGCTCCCATTTCTCTGATAGTTTGTTTAAAATTTTGCTTAGTCATATGGTCAAATGGAGTGTCATTGATCACTCAATTTTGCCCACTTACTCCAAAATCTAGAGGTCGTTAAGTAGTTTACCATTATTAATTTTTATTCTTGGCATAGTTTTATCAGTTACTTTAGACAAATGATGGTTCTTCTTTTTCAGAACTTGACTTGTAGTCTTAGTTCGTCTCCTAAATCAATTTATTAAGGAAGTTACTTCAATGATTTAGCAATAAGATTTGTTTTCATGAGTCTATTTTTTCGCTCGATCATGAAGTTCTCCATATTTTCCATATTTTAATATTATTTATCAATTAGAAATTAGTGAAATGGGGTTTTGGGGTTTTGGGGTTTTGGGGTTTTGGGG